CGGGCTGGTATACCACCTAAAAATTATTTTATACATTTGTTCCTTCGAAGCGATGCATACAAACCTTTTCAGTGGCCTCCCATATGTCTTCCCAAGAGGTACATTTCCAACACCTCTCCAAGGTCCCTCTCCCACTGACGTACATATCAGAAGGCACTCCACACAGCAGAATGAGAACACATACATGTAAGTGTAAGTAAGGGAAATCAGGCCTTTCTGATAGGAACATCGTAAACACAAGCTTTCAAATACAGCCTTTTCTGAGCTCCGGTAACTTCTATTCCTCAACTCTCCAACTCACTGTACAATATAGCCACATAAGCAGGAGGCTATGGGATAGGTTCATAATACCTTGATAATGTAGGATACAACCTCTCTTAAATACAGTTGCTTGGAATACCATAGAGATCCAGACTGTGACTCCCATTTTCTTGAGAAGGTCCCTGGACCGTACTGTTTTTGTGAATAGCCTTTTTTAGCTTCTCCACTTTAGGCGCCGCAGTTGTTTTTGTTTTCTGTGTTATGGATAATGATTTATCAGCATAATCGACTTGAATGTGTAACGTCACAGGAGTGATGTAAGACACAACAGCCTCGAAGCCATTAGTGATTATAAAAACAGTCCAAACCCCTTAAGCCAAAATGCTTTAGGAGATAACAGAGTGTATTCTCTTTCTTACTCTAGAAAATAGCCAATTAAATTTAAGAGATATCATCACATTTTTAAATGAACATTCCCCCGCTGTAAGTTGGGCAGATGAGAAGGTAGGCTTCCAGAACACTTCGTGCAGTAGCACAACAGTAAAGAAACACGACTCACAGAGAAGCATTGGGTTCAATGCTTCTCTAACGGTGTTATTCACTCTCGTGAGAAATGTTTTAGAAATTGAAAGTGAATTTAAAAATGTATAGACCAAAATAGCAGATCCAGAAAATTCTGTGTTCAGTTTGACTATTTTTGGCAATTCTCATGTTAGTGAATAAGCCTGTATGAGAAGCACCACCAGCATAGCCCAGTAATTGCCATGCATGCGCCCCCTATGAGAAATACTGGATTGGCCAGCAGATGATCACTAACATGCAGACCTTCTCTCCTCTGGATCAGAGGTAAGTAGCCAATATTTATTTATAATGTTGAAGTATTTATTTCATAGTTATACATCTATAACTATAATTGACACCAGATTTAGTAATCAAGCTAGGAATTATACAAAAACCAAAGTTGTGCTGGCACTCAATCACGTATAGGTGCAGGTATTCGAGGTTAACCCCACTACAACCTCATAATTTATATACACAATATAAACATGAATACTGCACTCTGCATTAATTATGGTAAAGAAGAAATTCATAAATAAGTATGCAAAAAAATTCATTTATTAAATACTGACCCCGTGTAATTTAAAGAGGCTACTTGGAAAAATTTAGAAAAAAATTGGTGACCTTATCCTAAATACATATATCATGCATATGAAACAAAATCGTAATATATACAAATAATATTTACAACCAATGGCAATCCCATTTCATATATCATACACAGGGTATAAATTCATGATATATACAATGCTATGTACAACTAATTTACAGTCCTAGTGTCCCATACAGGTAGGGATAAAATATCCTAAGTGGATCCACCAAATTCTAGGCCTTTATGAAAAAACTGAAAAAAATAAAAAAGGAAAAATGGTAATATCACCAAAATGGTTAAAAGAGAAAAATGAAAAAATAATTTTTTCCAAGTAGCCTCTTTAAATTACACGGGTCAGTATTTAATAAATGATTTCTTTTGCATACTTATTTATGAATTTCTTCTTTATCATAATTAATGCATAGTGCGGTATTCATGGTTATATTGTGCAAGCTAGGAATTATCCCTGCAGCACTAGTAGTTAGGAGGCATTTCATGTAGATAATAGTATGTAGTAATGTAGTGGTTCCAATGCAGGTCATAGCAGAAATATCTATTTTAAAATATATATTTAAGGCTTACTCCAAGCATCACAAACACTACAGCCTGCCATAGCAGTTATAATGCTAGGAGAACTCTGGGCTTATTCCCTGGGAATGGGGCAACGTGTTTACGAATGGTTTGCCCTCTTACCTGGGTCTAATCTGAAGCAGAATTGACGACAAGCCTATCCAGTCTGGTATTCATTGTCTGCTCACCAGTCTCGGCAATGAATGGAATCCTGGGCATAGAAAATTGCACAGAATTGACATTAGCCACTCCAGGCTGACCAATGACACCACAGTGACGACACAGTCAGCAGAAATGTTAATCCCTCTGTTTTTACAGAGATTTATAGCAAAGCACTGCAGGAGAATTAACCCCCACAGCACTGAGGAGAAACAAAAAAACCTGGATCTCTATGAAGCAGGAACCCCTAATTAAATAAATAATGGGAGTGACCTAATGTCCCCCCCAGGTCCCCACCCATGAGCGGCGGATTAGGGACACTAATTAAATAAATAAATAAAGGGGGGGGACCTAATGTCCCCTCTAGGTCCCCACCCATAAGCGTCGGGTTGCGACCACAAATAATAAAGTGACTAGGAGTCCCTAAGCCCCCAGTCACTCCACCACCCAATAAAAATACCCTACCTACACCCCTCATTAGGTCCCCCCCATCACTTATTTAATTAGGGTCCCCATCTGCTGCTCATGGGTGGGGACCTGGGGGGACGATAAGTCCCCCCAATTATTTATTTAATTAAGGCTCCCACCCGCCAGTTATGGGTGAGGACCTGGGGGGGATATTAGGTTCCCACCCTTTATTTAATTAGGGTTCCCACCCGCCGCTCATGGGTGGGGACCTTTTTATTTGACTAATTATGGCCCCCACCCGTAGGTCCCCCCATTTTCGTTATTTGGGTTCCCCACCATAGAGGAACGGGGGGACCTGTGACAGTTGCCCAATCACTAGTAGTTTTACATTACAGCAAGCAGTTTAGGCGACATGCCCCTAATCGCGGCAAGCCGCAAGTAGGGGCATGCGGGAGGATTTAACCTCACTTAATATGGGGGTCATAGTGACCCTATAGGTTTTAATGCGGGGGGGAGGGTAGGAATTGTTAATATTTATTGTAGCGGAGCTCCAATACCTAGCATAGATATCTCCACTGGTTAGTCCTCGTAGCTGAAGTAAGCAGTAAAACATCCCAAGACACTTTCCCACAGTAACTGGATGACACATAGTTCTGGGAGTCAACTGGTCAAACATGGCTTTTTTATGCACTGACCCCTACATTGGGTCTCTCACACAAAATTACAGGGTTTTTCCTCCCAAGATCCTCTGTGCCTGAGAGGTAATTGCATGAGAAAACTCTATAACTTAATTATCTCCCAGGTACAGAAAAATCTTCAATAATTTCAAAGATCCAAAAACCCCACAAAAGTCACATCATCGAATATCTTGGATCTGACTGCACACTTTGACGAAATATCACTCAGATCCCATCGGTAGTTCGGGAATTCCGTTCGAGTGAAGTTTTAAACTGTCGGCCATGAGGTGATGCCCGAAAACAGTTCCAGAGGAATTGAGGCAACGACTGGTCATCTTTCGGGGGTTCTCGCATGAACACCGACAAAGGCTCCCCCTGGCTGTTAGCATACAAATGCTCCCCCTGTTTGGTAGTCTATGTCTTCCGAACGCCGTTCTCATAGCGGTTCGGGAAGTTGGATGGGCAGCAGTTTCAGTTTACCAGTTGTTCGCGAGGTCGTCTAGCCGAAAACATTTCCTTGCTGTCGACGACCATGTACCACTGCCCGCGTTTGAGAAACAAAATGGCCGCGATTTGTTTGCACACGTGCATTCGGTTATACAAACACCTGCCACACAGGAGAAACACTTTCCTTAACAAGCAATCTACGATTAACAGCCAGGGGTGCTCGGTGATTAAAAGGTACAAACACATGGACCACACAGATGGAGGTTCAGTAAACAAATGTGGGGGGCACGGACAGCCGAACAAAGGGAATAAAAGTATATAAAAGGTGTCTGTTCTGCTACGTTTATTACAAGGAGGGAGCTGGTAGCTCTGCCGGCTCCCAACTTGCTTTTTCTTTTTTTTTACTGAATTTTCTCCGAAAGACAAATGTTTTTTAAGCCTAAATTTTCACATTTGATCTTCAATCCTCTACTATTCAAAGCTGAATTATGATTAATTATTCTGCAATCATTAAAGGGACACTATAGGCACCCAGACCACTTCAGCTCATTAAAGTGGTCTGGGTGCAGTGCTCCTGCCAGTTTAACCATGCAATGGTAATTATTGCAGTTATATTACAAAACTGTCTACCACTAGAGGCGCTTCCGGGCATTAGGCGACTTTTGATTGCCTGACGCTCAACGTCCTAACGCTATGCTTGAGGACATTCAGTGTCAGCTAAAACCCCATCGGAAAGCATTGATTCAATGCTTTTCTATGGGGTTGTCCTAATGTGATGTCAGAGGAGTAGGAGGGTGCTTGGAGTACAACTGTATTCCAACGCCAGCTAATTTGGCTCACGTTGAATATTATATTTCATTATAAATAATCAGGGTTATTCACTTAATTGAGAATTCAAGCTGTAACTGGTTTCCAATTAGAAATGTTTGAAAATAAAACTGCTAGTTACCTCCTACCGCCGTTAGTAGCTTTTCTGCGATCGTCCTCCCAAACTCCTTGTGATGTCACATAGTCAATAGACATGGATCCAGTCAAATGCTTCTCACTTAGAAGCATTGTGGACATTAGACGGATGGGCGCTCTCACCGATACTTGCCAATGAGAATACGCTCATAGACAATCGTTTGAACTGCGTTATCGAACAGTGAGCTGACCAGCTTGTAGAATAAAGGACAGTTTATTTAATTTGTTTCATTTTGTTCCATTCTGTCCATGATATCAGGGGTTTGTCTTTCTTTGGGATTCTTTTGGCTGATAGATTGTAACCCTTTAGAAAAAAAAGAAAAAAAAAAAGACACCACCCAACGCATTTCTCCTAAAAGGTACCTCTCTAAAAGCAAATCACTAAGTTAAGGGGTGCGAGTGGGAGCGTGGCCAGGGGCAAGGCCATTCTGAGACAATTTTTGTGTTTTACTAATAATTTAATAATAATACTAGCTGTGTAATCTGTATAATCCTTTATAATCCGGTGGAAAGGGGCTGTGTTATACACTCAGACACACTAACAATATGGATCTCCTAGAAAAGAGGGTGACAGGATAGAACTGAAGGACAGAGGGATTGGGTCCAACATAAGGACTGTCCCTATTAAATAGGGACACTTGGTATGTCTCTGTAGAAAGGCAGCCAGCACATGGTACAGCACAGTAAATGCTTCCCCGCCCACTCTGCTCGGAACCTTAGTAGTGCGTGCTGTGTTTGCGGCGGAAGACAATGGTAGCGATCAGGAAGCGCCCTGCGTGTCACGGTGGTTGTAAATAATGGCGGCGATGGCTGCTGTGGTCTGTGTGCGGCTGGGAGCTCGGCAGCTGGTATACAGAGCACCGGGGAGCCCTGGACGGGTAGGTGAGAGCCAGGGAGGCATGGCCCCAACCAGGGATAACCTCCTAATCCCCATGTGTACAGAGCCTGTCTCCTGGGGTGAGCTGGATGCAGACACATGTTCCAGCTCCCATTCACCCAGTGCTAATTTCCTTATTGGAGGGTCACCTTGGGCTACCTACCTGCAGGGTGGGTCTGGCACAGCTTATATTGGGGAGGCCAACAAATAATCAGCTGCTGAGCCTTTATAAATCCCATCCATTGTATTTTAAGTACATTTCACCCCATGGACACAAATTATATGCAATTGCACACCATGAGCTTGGTGACCTATTTTTGGCTTGTCACACAGTGTATAGTGCAATGCATCATGCTAATCATCTTTATTGTAAAAAACTTTGTGTTAAATGTATCTCCTCCATTGCACATAGCAACGCCATGCTCCCTCAGTAAACACTTTATGGTGGGCACTTACCTGGGGTCTGAATATGTCTTGTTTCTGTTCTAAAGAAAAAAGGGACCTGTTGTAAATTCTAAGTCCCGAGTAGGTCTGACCGGTTCATAATGTTTACCTGGATAAGCATAGTCTCTTCACGTAGATAAGCATCACATTAATAGTGCTGCCTTGGCATTGTGAATTAATATTCTACGGGAAGAAAGAAAGTAAATGCATTAACAAAGCAGGGATCCTTAACCCTTTAAAGACACAACTTCTGGAATAAAAGGGAATCATGATGGAATATTTCCATCATGTGTCCTTAAGGGGTTAAATAATCTGCACTGGTTTCTTAATTTACCCCCTGCCTTATGTGTTCTACACAACTACAGAGGAGCTCTTTTGCTACACATCATAAATGTGGCAACCATTACACCCTCCCACCCCCCCCCCAATCCTGGGGTCTCTAACCAATAATATGCTGCTTTAGGGGGCGGAGCTTGCGGCCAACGAGGGTAGACGCCATCTCAGCCAGCTCCCCGCAATTCGCCTAAAACCCACCGAAAATCGCGGGCATCCTACCCCATAAGGCGACGCAACCCGGCCGACCTACCTCACCGAGAGTTCCTGCATCCGTCGATGCCGTTCTTCCAGCCGCCCAGACAGGCAAAAATAAAACGCAGGTCTGGGGCCTACTGCGCAACGCCAGCCTACAGCCTGGACGACCTACTCGCAATCGGCAGAGTGGGACACAGCCTGCAACTCCCAGACACCTCATCCCCACATCAAATGCCAGCAATGGGACGTCGGTCCCAAAAACCACACACAGCGGCAGAGTGCAGGGATATTGGCACCATGCTGCAACGACCGGCGCCGGGCAAAACACCCTCCACAGAGGTACTGCAGCCTACACACATTGAAGCCACGAGGCAGAGTGATGAGGTAGGGATCACACAAGCCCTGCAGACAGATCAGGCCCCATCCCAAGAGCCCTATGATGGCACAGCTCCCACTACCAAAGCTGATTTAAAGGCACTGCTGGCAGACATACACAAGGTCTGGGCTGCAGACCTCCAGCAAATAAAAGCAGACATACAGGCAGTCACAGGCCGAGTAACACAAGCTGAAACAAACATCGGCAGCATTAACTCTGACTTGACCACAATTAAAGACACAGTTACTCAGCTCCAAGTGCACCAATCAGCCTTGTCGCTCAGGCTGACGGCCTTTGAAGACAGACTACGCCGCAACCATGTTAAGATAAGGGGAGTCCCTGCTAACATTAGCGCAGATGAACTACCACACTATGCCAGGCGATTGATGGCGACCATCTTACCTCACCCAGTGACCAGGAAATTAACCATTGAAGGAACATTTTGACTACCAGGCTCACCCACGGCAAAACCAGGCCAAATGCAAGACGTCATACTCCGCTGCGCCACCTCTCAGGATAAGGCCCAGATTATGCTAGCCCTGAAGGGTAAAACACCGCTGTCCTTTGAAGGCGCCTCTCTAACCTTCTACCAGGACCTCACACGAGCCACACTGCAATGGCGCAAATCATTGGCACCGATCACTTCCCAACTCAGAACAGCTGGGGTGACATACAGATGGGGCCCCCCTGGAACGCTATATGCTACGCATAACGGGACTGTCCACACACTAGAAGCAGGGGCAGATATACCCTCTTTCCTTGCATCACTAGGCATAGCAGGCCAGACCGTAAGAACACAAGACAAACCATCCAAAGCCTGGGACCCAGTGAACACGGCCATATTCACACCGAGAGCCGCCACATCAGGGGAAATGGAGCCTTAGCAGGACTGAACACTAAATACTTAAACGCAACTCGACAAGACAGCCGAACACCCCAACAAAGCCGTACTGTTTAAAATGTGTTCAACGTTTAGCATTAATGCTTCAGTTTATGTTTTTAAACTACACGACGGCTAGTCATGAAAACCCGAATTTGGGTTGACAATTACACGACCGAGATGGCGATTACCCCCCATAATCCCCAACAAATACCCCCCTCAGGAGTGGGCGAACTACACAAGGGAGCGTATATACCCACACCCTCACTCTCTTCCCTACACTAGTTATACACTAACCCTCAGGCACGAGACCTACCAACTCACCTGATGCTCACTAGGCAACCCTGATACCACACACCCTGGCAACCAGCTCAGTATAGAGCCTACTCAGTCAGATGCAAAACGTGACCTACCCACAGAGAAGCAACATACACAATACCCCCGAACCCTTAAGTGACAATCCCCCCCCCCCAAGGGATCACTATATGGCACCTACACAGGGCTTCTTCAGCCTGACCTAACTTAAGATGATGAAAAGCAAAATCTCCTCCTCATGCGCCTAGACCATCTCAGACAAAACGCTAACCTACACCCAATCAAACTAGGCATACTTGTCTAACACATACAATCTATCTATTAGATGCAAATCTCATATAGGAGATTACTTAACTTAGCTTGTTCATACAACTCATTAAATGTAAAAATGTGCAAGTTTTAACGCATAACTTACCTATGTTCAAATAATAATGCGCTTGTGGAAGCTGTTGTGGCTATACAAGCACTGCTGTAAACCCATGCACAACAAAAATAAAGAATTAAAAAAAAAAATATGCTGCTTTAAATTAATTACACTGTGACTTAGAGATTGTGACAAACATAGTTTTTTTTTTTTACATTCATTACTTCCCAGCAAGATGCTTTTTTTGTAGGAAAGTTTGACACGGGCAAGCAATGATGCTATATGCCTATATCGCAGTTATATTTGCTTTGTTCACTTTATTCCCATTAGGTTGTGACCGATAAAACATGGAGCAAGTACGCCAAAAATATTCGTCTTTTCAGTACAATTCCACCTTCCGCACCAAAAAGAAAGTATGGGGTATGTAACTCTTAAAATAATACAAATACCTTTTGCTTTTTAATTAGGATCTTTTTGTTATTTATTGTAATTTTTTTTATTTGTCTTGCTGTTAATTTATGGCTTTAATAAAGCTGTGTAATTCAATGTATTAAGTTCTGATATGTTTCAATCCCATACATGAAATGATCCTGGTTCCCCCACCATGGGACGCTAGAGGGATCACTCCTTCTTGGGGACTTCCAGAATGTTCGCTTTCTCACCATGATACATTTTATCTCTCACAGCCTCGGGAGAATCCCAGGGCATTGCAGCTGAGATGATTATTGCAGCAGTTGTTGTGTAGTGCTATTGTATAGCAAATGTAAAAGCATTATGTGAAATGTTTGCACACATTACCAATCTGTTGTATATTCGGTAATGTGATTTTATAATTTTCATTAATTTATCCCCCTATTTAATTCACATTATGCAGTTTTAGTTAAACAGTCTGTATTGTAAGCTCATCCAATCTCTCTCCTAGTAGCCGGTTACATGGAAATCTCTGGTGGTTACAGTCGCGTTGGGAGGGGCTTTTATGGGTGGAATGAAATACCTGAAGAAAGTCAAGGAAGAAAGTGAGTCTCAAAGATTTATTACCCCATTTTAGGGGGACAAACCTTATTATTTAGAATTCACATTTATGTTAATACAGGGTGATGCAATGAATCTAGTAGCCAGAATGGGTTTAACCCCAAAATGGATAAGCAGCCTGGCACCAAAAAGAGGGGAAGAAATGCAAAAAAGCTTTGACAGAGTCACCACAAAATGCACCAGGTGAAACCAGCTTGTTGTTTGCCAGCTCCTATGTTTCCTAAATGACTCTGATCTTTCTTATGGTGTCTAGACGTGAGAAGTCAGTGTTCTCTGCGGCTATTAACTGGCTGCAAAGATGACACCCATTTGAGAATGGACTACTGTAGGACTGAGCAGAAGATTGTTATTCATATGTTGCTATGTGACGCTAGTATCGATAGACAGGGAACATTTCCCTACAATCACAAGTGGATTTGTAGATGGTTTAAATATTCCAAAGAATTTTGTTTAAAACAACTTGGTAGATATGCCCCCAATAAAAACATGCATGCATTTATTGCTGCATTTTATCTTTTGGGCTTTAATCTAAAATTAGCTTGGAAAAGCTGCAGAACTCTTGTCTGCAGCCTTGCAAGCCCTCCAGTTTGCACGCCACGACTTTCTGTGTCTGTCCAATCACAGACTGCCCAATACAGCTCAATGAGAAGCAAGGTAGGTGCTCTGGGCAATTGCTGCCTCTTTAGTTCAGTTCAAATAAGCTACCCAAACCAGGAAGTAACAGGACTGGTTTTCTCACAAAGTGGGGGAGAAGGAAAGGTTCATTTATAATTGCTTAAATTTCTATTGAAATCTGCACTTTTCATGAAATAAAAATGTAAAAAAAAAAACGCACACTCTACACATAAAACATTTAGAAACTGAAGTGCGTTTGGCATTTGTCGTTTTCCTTTAACTCCTGCAAGATGCATATCTACATGCAGGCAGGTGGTGGTGTATGCATTATTAGACATTTGTAAGTGTTTATTACACAGGTCAGAGGTGATCTATTTCCTTTCCTTCATATTTTTTTTTGGAGTTGCACTTGTTATAATTACTGCTTTCTATTTCGTTTTGTTGATACAGTATTGTTGCTCTTTTGCAATTTTATTTCTATTTTTTATTTAAATTTATTTTGTATTCTGAGCTCTAACTAGTTTATTTTGATATTTTTGCTGCACTTGTATTACATTAACACAAATAAAAATAGCATAAACCAATTAGTTATGGTTTGGTCCATAGTGTTAAAACTGCAGTGGTTTGCAAAACTCCCTACATCCACAATCTCACCCGTCACTCATAGATGTCACCTTGTCCCTTCCAAATACTTGTGCAGGATCCTGAGCGGCTTCATGCAACTGTTAAAGGAGTTCGCAATTTAAATTGTCAGCAGCTTATGCAGTAGTTCCAATCATCTTATCTGATAAATGGAACTGCTACATACCCAACAAACCCCTGCTGAACAGAAATCTCTGCAATACTCTGATACCAGGATGCACATGTTGGCGCCTCTGTCCTTTTTGTCAGTCATTCCTCCCTGACTTCATTCTCTCTCTCTCTGGTAACATATCCTCTACATCATGGGCTCCTAACCCAGTCGTCAAGTATCCCCTACCAGTCCAGAATTTAGGAATTGCCCTGTTGTGTCTAAAGTGTGTTTTTTTTTTCTCTCTAAAAACACCTTAGACACAACTGGGTAACCCCTAAATCCTAGATTGTTAGGGGTACTTAAGGACTGGGTTGGGTACCACTGCTTTACAGCATTGAAACAGTTATTTGTACTAGAATACCCTGTTGCCTGACCCCTGATTTAATGACTAAATGTTAGGAACAGTTTGATGTTATCAATGCCAATTTCATCCAAATTAAATGGTAGGTTCAGCACTGTGTGATGTGATAGATGTATATATTTCCCTCCTGGCTTGAGATGTGGTTTGTTGACCGGGCCCTTGTGAATAGCTGTGCTCTTCTTCTTTCTACTGCAGATATTGAAAAAGAAAGAAATCGTTCCATAGGGAAGCCATTACTCGGCGGACCTTTTTCTTTAATCGACCACAATGGACAACCTAAAACAGATAAAGATTTTCATGGCCAGTGGGTCCTGCTGTACTTTGGATTCACACATTGTCCAGACATTTGCCCAGAGGAAATTGAAAAGATGATTCTTGTCGTTGATGAGATTGGTAATTCTTTATGTATCTGTCAGAGTGGGTGAGACTAATTCCAAATTTGTTCATAGAAAGTAACCTGCGTATGAGTGTGGACAAATGAAGTTGAAATAATGCAAAAAAAATAAATAAAATGCACATCTTACAGTATTTTAACATCTATCTTTTACAGATAAGATCCCAACAATCCCTAATCTAACACCTCTTTTCATCACGATTGATCCTGAACGTGACGACAAAGATGCAGTCAGTAGATATATTAAAGGTTGGTAAGGTCACTCTTCTTAATCTAAAATTTTCTCAGCTTGCTATCCTATTTTAATGGTTTAATATTTCACTGCACCTTATATTTTCCCAGCCCTGTAGTGATCCTGGTCACAAGTGCACCCACTGTGATTTGTACTGTTTTGTCGATGCTAATTTCACTGATGTGCACTCATTTTGTTCCTTTCCAATTTTAAATTTCACCATGTTTGAATGCATTGTAAATAGACATTGCAGCCTAGATGTGACCTAATTTTTAAAATTCCATCATAAAGTGAATACATCTCAAACTATGCAAAAAAAAAATACAAATTACACTTTTTAAAATAAATTTTTTTTTTTTCTGCTGGCTCGTGCAAAATCTATGGTGAATAATGTAAAATATCCTTTTTTTTTTTTTTTTTTTAAGAATTCTCTCCCAAACTGATTGGATTAACTGGGTCAGTTGAACAGATCGAGGCAGTGGCGAAAGCATACAGAGTGTATTTCAGCCCAGGACCAAAGGACGATGACAATGATTACATTGTAAGTCATGATGCTCACAGCAAATCGTGAAATCTATGAGAGCACGGACTCTGGAGTGGTTCTAGGGAAAAGTGCTAAACGTGGAACAATCATCAGAAACATTCCATTGGTTTATGTATATTAGGTCTACATAATCAAAAATATTTCTGAGCATTTTCTCTCAGCTGTATGAGTCCTGTGATGTTTGAAGGCTGCAAGACTCACAATTTCAAGTCCTATGCCACTAGCCACACTTTAAAATTTACTCACCACTGCAATCCTGGATGATCCAGATCTCACACACACCAGGGTAAACTTCTACTCGCTGTTGATGAGTTGCAAGTGGGAATTTTGGGCACTGTTGTATGAAGATTAGGAAGACCTGTAATAAAAGGAGTGGATACATAAAGCAGTCTTCCTGTGTACATAGACTGCTGATAAACTGTTTCACAGAATTCTACTTTGAACAGAGGTTGTGTTCCGGAAGGTTGAAATTATTCTGAAAGTTACATCTGGGCTAAAATGTTCTATTAGCCATAAGTGAGTGAAAATGTAACACTGGCTTGTAAAACCTTGACCCTTGATGAAAATGCTATGAATTGCAGACATGTGTAACTTTTAAGGCCTGGTTAGTAGTGTAGGACTTTAAAGGACCACTATAGGCACCCAGACAACTTCAGGTTAATGAAGTGGTGTGGGTGCCTGGTCCATCTAGGGTTAACCTTTTTTTCTATAAACATAGCAGTTTCAGAGAAACTATGTTTACATATGGGTTAATCCAGCCTCTAGTGGCTGTCTCATTGACAGCCGCTAGAGGGCTTCCGCGTTTCTCACTGTGAAAATCATTGTGAATGCTTTCCTATGGATTGGCTGAATGCGCGCAGTTCCTGCCACGCATGCGCATTCAGCCGGAGAGGAGGAGGAGAGCTCCCAGCCCGGCGCTGGAGAAAGAGGTAAGTTTAACTCCTTCCTCTCCATCCAGCCCAGCGGGAGGAGGACCCTGAGGGTGGGGGCACCCTCAGGGCACTATAGTGCCAGGAAAATGAGTATGTTTTCCTGGCACTATAGTGGTCCTTTAGTTTTAACCTCCGATTTACTTAGCAGTAGTATTCATTTATAGTTAATTTTATTTGCCAACTTTTATGGTGCACAATCTCAAGACTTCCATTTTTCACTATTGCACAAAATACAATATAATAATGTCCCCATAAGCTTTGTTGATCTTGACAAAATAATTTTTTGTACATTTCCTTTTATTCAATGGTAGTTTTTGCTATTTAAAGTTGCTCCTTTAAATGGCCAAAAAGTCAGATTGTATTTGAAGCCAGAGAATGGGAATGATTTAGATAATCTGTAACAATGTGAAGTGGAACGCATTCAGGAATGAGAAAAAATGAGACATGAGTTGTATGCTTGTATGGGAATCTTTGCCTTGTATTGGCAGTGAGAGTTGGCATGCAGTGGTTATCGGGCACCATCTTTCCTTCGGGGGCTAAACTGTTCTTTAACCCTAACGTGGGTCCCCCATTGCCTGAAAGATCTGTCTACGATTTTTCTTCCTTTCTTTTCCTCTGTCTGCCGTACACTCCAGAATGGTTTGCCTTGGTAGCCAGTGATAGGCTGAGAGAGACGGGGTGGAAGTGTTCCTCTAAGGGTTTTGGTTATGCACAGAATATTTATTTGTATTGTGAGCAAGATCTCCCACCTTAAACTGAATTAGAATTTTTACAAAGTGGTCGAATTTCCGGAGTCATGACAAGTTTGTTTCTCTTCCTTTGCAGGTGGATCACACAATCATTATGTATCTGATTGGACCAGATGGATCCTTTGTTGATTATTATGGACAAAATAAAAATAACGCAGAGATTTCTGTCTCTATCGGAACCCATATGCGCAAATTCAAACACACGAGTTAGTATGGCCTGCCGACTGTAAAGAGCTTGTACTGATGGAGTTTGGAGTAAAAATCAAATGAATTTATTATTTTTATAAACAAAACTTTGTTTTCCTTTATACTCTCTGAGATTATTTGGTACTTTTGCCATGTGTTTGTTTTGTCATACATTTACCATTTATTTATATAGAAGTGCCCCTGTGCATACTCTATAACATTTCCTTTAAAGGACTGATGGGGCTTTCTTCTGATACAATCAACGTAATTTACTAAAGTCAGAAATGTCACTGCTGCCTCCGGTTTTTCTTTTCTTTTTTTTTTTTTTTACACACATGCTACTTTTTCGTGTATATCCCATGGGTGTAAAGACCCCAGATTTCTATTATGCCACTACTGCGGAGTACAGCAATACCCCAATGTAAAGTTATAAAGTCAAATTGCAGATCTGTCCGTTTCATTTTCCAATTTTCACTGACTGATTTTCTGGGACCATGTCACTTTGGGGACAAAATCGGAGTCCACAGCTGAATATTTCCTCCTATTATGGCATAGTGGTTTTTAAAATATTTAATATGGTGTATTGTCATTTCATTACCAATTTGTTAAATAATGTGCTTTAAATTTTATTATAATATTTTTTTTCTTTTTATATATACGCTACGGAATTTTGCTGGCGCTATATAAATTATAATATATAGCAGTTCGAATTATCTTCTGAATTAAGCAATACACACGTATTCCAGGTTTTGATGGGTGAAGTTATTAGTCACATCACCCAGTAGGAGATGTGTCCTAACTTTGACGTTGCCCTTAGCTTGTTTCTCAACTATTTTCTTGTTTCCTGTTTTTATTTAGTGACACTATATCTGTCTTCAAAATGACACGATTTCGAACTCTCCCGTTATCCTGACTAACCCTAACACAAACCATTTGATCTTAAGTAGATTAGCCGTAACAACCATAATTAGGTCTAACCCTTACCTATTCACTATTTATTAGATTGACCCTAGCTAAACCTAACTAATCCAGGATAAAAGTAACCCTACTGGTAATCCTAATTGAAACGTACGTACCCTAGCTAACATTGTAGATTGATTTTTCCCAGGGACCTAGTCACAGTAATGATATTCCTCATACGATATTTATGGCATGCCATTACTGTGATTGGCTCCCAGGTGATCTTTCAGACAGGGGTCCAATCAGAGAGCCTTGCTGGGCTGCCTCATTCAAAGACCCTGCCCCCTTTAAAAAAAAAAAAAAAAAAAAAGTGCAAAATAAGGACAAACAGAAAAATCTGCTTTAACTTTTCTCTAGTCATATTATTTCTCTACAAATTAGTTAAAACTTTTTTTTTTGGTTTTCATGAGATATATATATATATATATATATATATATATATATATATATATATATATATATATATATATATATATATATATATATATATATATTTTTTTTTTTTTTTTCCCAGCTAACTGCAGATTTATAAATGAATATAGGGTGTAAAAGAGAACAAGTGTCCTTTTAAAATACATTGTGTAATACAAGTTTGTGAACTAAATTCAGGAAGATGAATGTTATAGTTGAACAAAAATGTATATAGTGATCTTGCCTTTAACCCCTTAAGGACAGAGCTTCAGAAGCTTGTCTTTCACTTAATAACAACAGCATTTTTTGCTGTTTACGTTCAACTGCAATTTTCATTTTACTAATTTATTGCACCGACACACAGTCTATACCGTTTTTTTAAAGGACAGAAAGGGCTTTAATTTGATGTAACATATGCTTATTTATTCTAAAAAAAAAAAATACAGAAAAATGCAAAAAAATAAATTCATTTAGTTGAATTTAGTAAATTTTTTTACAGTTTTTGCAATAATAAATTATGCACAATTAGTGCAGGTTAAGGAAAGTAATTAAAAATAAATTCATTTAGTTGTTCTGATTTACAGAATATATAATGTGTCTGAGATTTTAAGGTTTTTTGTTTTTTTTTTGTAGTTACAGGTCACAAAGCACAAGGAGTAAAATAAACTTTTAATGTGGAGCGATTTTAGAATTTGGTATGTTTGTCTTGTAAGCTTAATAGCCATAAAAGAAAACAAAATTGCCACACAAAAGTATATATTTATATAAAGTAGACATCACAGGCTATTTACCTAAGGTTGTTTTAACACTTTCTACGTAGCCATTTCACCGCCAACCTCTGCTAAATATTGGAGTAAAATTGTTTTTTTGGGGGGTTTTGGCACACAAACTTATAACAAAGAAATTCTCATGTGTATTTTGTAAAGTTGGTGTGTGCTATTCCTGTACAAAGTTTTATTTTGTTTTCAGTTACATCTGCTGAGTAAAATGACACCCCCATTGTATGTCTTTGACACTATTTCGTGAAGCTACAGTGCCATATAGGAGACCTGTCCTTTTCATTATTCACAGTATTTTGAGAGATGGATTTAATGAGCCTTTGCTTCCATTTGGGGTATGATAACAGTTTGACTGTTCAGAAAAACCCCACAAAGACCTACCATTTGTAAATGTAGACACTCCAGGGTGTCTCATATGGTGCATATTGTGCCTTAACATGCCCCCATTTTTTCACCAATATATGCCCAAGTATGTGGTCAAAAATAATTTTGTGCATTTTATAACAAACTTATTGCATTTTTGCTGGGCATTTTGTATATTTCATATGTGCCACTAAGTTCAAACCCCCCAAAATATGCTCAGCTAAGTCTTCTGAGTAAAAAGACACCCCCAATGAATGTCTTTGGCACTATTTCGTGAAGTTACAGTGCCATATAGGAGACCAAGCCATATAAGTTTTTACCGAACTTTGAATTTTGACGCTAGGCCTATGTGCAATTTCCAAGCATCTTCGCAGGTTTTAAATTCAAACTACCTCACAAAGGCCTACCATTTCTTAAAGTAGACACCCCAGGGTATTTCAAAAGGTATATTTTGAACCTTAGCGTGGGATCATTTTTCCACTAGCTTGTACCAAGTGTAGTGGTAATAAGCGTTTTTTCTGCCTTTTTCACACACAGTGAGTTTGCATAGTATATTTTGCAAACCTTATGTGTGCTACCACTGTATAATACTTCATATGTTGCTCAGCTATGTGGTCCGAGTACAGCAATACCCCCATATGTACCTTTGCCAGGTATATGTGGATGTTGAAGGGGCACATTTGAGACGCAGCCATTCATTTTTTTTTCTTCTAACTTTGAAGTTTTACGCTGTGTCCATGTTCCAATTTGGAGTAGTTTAGATGGTTGGTTATTGAAACTTCCCCACAAATGGTAATGAGCGTTTTTAAATGTATTTTTTAAAAAAAATTTTTTACTTTTTAAAACTAGTTTATAAACTTTTGATTTGCTTATTAATTTTTTTAAACTTTCCTAAAACTTGTTTTTTACAGATTTAACATTTTTTCTAAGCTTTTTTTTTTTTTACCGTTAACCCCTAACTAGCAGTAAGCAGCACTAACAGTAAATTCCCCATTTTCCCATAACTCCAACCCACCCCAGCTGATGATCCATCTCCCTGCGCTTCACACAGAACCAGGAGGTGCAGGGAGGCGGAAGGTGAGTATACTGAGCACAGAGCGAGCACCGGTGCTGGGGCAGCGAGATCGGGTGCTCCCGGTCTGCCTCTAATACAGAGGCAGACCGGAGTACCATTAACCCCTCAATCGCCGCAATCACGGCGCTCTGGGGTTAATTTTACCTTGTGACGGACAAGGTCCGTCACTCGTCGTTAAGGGTTTAAAGGAACACTCTAACAAATATTGTATGTGTTTGTTTGTTTGTTTTTTTTGTGCCCCCACTTCCCCCATAATTCTTACCTTTACTAAATTAAATTTGAATACCTAGTAAATGTAGAAGGTCTGATAGGAAAGCAAAATGGCTGCTTCCTCAAACTAATTTAACTGTTCTATATATTAGTCAGTGTTTGTAAATGGTCAGGATTAGTCACTAAAGTGAGAATTTTGGGAGATTCAAAGTGAATTTTTGAATTTAAAGTTCCACCTCAAAACCCCCCAAAAGTACATTGTTTGAAAAGTGTCCCCCCTTTTTTATATATAAAAATGGCAGTTTTCAATAGAAATTTACACTTTTTATAAATTAGCCTTGTTAACTTGTTCACCCTCCGGCTGTCAGACAACCGGTCCTGTTACTTCCTAGTTGTTTAGCCCAGTAGAGTTAAACTCAAGAGGCAGTAATTGCCTAGAGCACCTGCCTTGTAAAGACTTGTCATTGAGCTGCATTGGGAAGTCTGTGATTGGACAGCCATAGAAAGTCTGGGCGGAGTTAGAAGGGGTGGGCTTCCAAAGGCTGCACACAAGAGATCTCTATTTTTTTTTTTTTTTAACTGGCCACTCACACTTTGCAGAGCCACATATAGCAAGCTCTGACTATAGTAGCATTAGATGGTATAAGTGCTCTTTCAACTTTCCTTTCTCCTTTTCCACCTCTCCACCAGTAGGAATAAGGCAGGGAACTGAATCAGGAATGGGGAGAAATAATTCTTCTTACAATGCATTTCCCTCTAAGGAGAATTATTTAATCCCATTTCCGATTCAAATCCCTGGAGTGGAGAGGTAAACAAGAAAGGGTAACTGAAAGAGCATGTAAATGTTTTTGCACCGTATTCCCGATTAAAGTCCCTACATTATTCCTACTGGTGGAGAGGTGGACAAGGAGAAGTTGAAGGACCACTTATATCATCCAATTCCATTATAACCAGAGCCTGCTCTATGTGGCTCTGCAAAGTGTGAGTGGCATATTATGTCTCTTAACATTACTATTTATCTCAACTATACTACATTACACAAGAGTCTATCACATTCACTGTTGTTTTTGGTGTATTATTGTGCTCCTTATTGTCTTTGTATGTTACAATCTAAAAGATTTGCAATTGCTTATTTGTTTTAGACCATTCTGAATCCAAAATCTGGGTGCATACTAGCTTTTGACACATTTCTGTATTATAAATGATTATTTTAACCCTGACTATGATGAACTGCTCTCCTGGATTTGGCGTCCTCTCTGTCTATGCTCACTCCACTGGAATTCTGTGTTTCTCTAGCTAGAGTTTTTTTTGGGTAAAACTTTAGCAATTCCACTTGATTAATCACATTACATACCTATGTGCCTTGACATTTGTTGGTAAACTGGACAGAGTAGTACAGAACCGAACGGATACCTTCATTGAATGAAGGGTAGTTGGATATTCCAGTGTCATGACATGTTCTTCAAACAGGGCACCGTTTTTCTACCCCCGTGTCATGCGGCTAATGACCAAGTGGAAAAGAGTCTCCCTCGATGGTGCTTAACTGTTTTATCTCCAGTGCATAATATGTCTAGTAGTGTACTTAACTAGTGTTACCTACTACTTCTGGCTTGCAATTTTGCATATATTTTTTTTGTACTGTGCAAAATTCTTGTTGGCTCTAATCTAACCCAGCATCCTTTATGAATTGTATCATATTATCACACTGGTTCTTTTTGGAGAATTCTGTGAATTTGGTTTCATTTCATTGTGTTTGGATTCCTTTGTAACTTTGGTTTCCACTGTGGTTTACCAGTTTCTTTTGTGCACATCCTTGTCCACTGCCCACTCTTACCTGTTTGCTTTACCGTTTTTCTTCACTCAACTTATTATATCCATTAACTTGATAAAAGTTCAGAAAGTGGACAGAAGCATTGACCTAGTATGAAAATATATATAAACATTTCAGGACTTACAATTTCAAGTCCTACACTTCTGCCATCAGGGAATTAATGGGACTCACTACTGCAAAGCTATCTACTAATTCCGAATAAACTGGTCTGCTGTACACCATAAATACTATAACCACTTTGCATCATTACAAAGGGCATGGTCTTTAGAGCACGCCGAGCCCCGTCACATTTCTGAGAATGTGCAGTAGCAAAGTTATTTCTATTAAAAAGAAAACTATGTGTGTGTATATATGTATGTGTGTGTTTAGATTTTCTTCCTTCAAAATTGCTACTTGGAAGGAACTATAGATATGACCTAAAATTCAATCTAAACGTTTTATATATATATATATATATATCTCCATGGCAGATTGACATCTTCACTTTGATTTAGCCTGATACTTGGCTCGCCTACTTGCTCAGGGAGTGGTATGCTTTATTCTCAAGAGTCAATGTTTCTGATACCCTTGCGGAATGCATTAGAGATATGGCAAGGAGATACATGTGGGTTTGACTGCTCTGAATTAATAGGGGAATTGCTGGTCTGGTCTTGTGGATGAACAAAGTAAAGTTGATGTGATATTTTTTTTGCTCTTTGAAGTTTTTTTTTCCTTGGAGACCTCGACGCAGAGATTTCATTACCCGTGGGACATCTGTTACATTCTTAAGAGGGAGACCAATTCTCTTGGCAAGCATTATTCTTTCTATAAAAGGTTCACAAATAACTACAGTGTCAAAGTCACTTGAAGGAGAACATGGCTTTTCTTTGCCACATGAGTCAGAGTGCGGCCAGCTTCGCAGACAGTTAACAGCCGCAGCTGCTAATACCCAGTTCAAGGTGCGATCTTATATGTGGTCATTAAAAATCCTTCCAATGGTGATTGCTCTATTTATGAGTGTTATAACTTCATTAAACAGCACTGTCACTATGAAAACAACATTAAATCATTGCAGTCAGCATGTACTCCTTTTGGATATAGCAACTTTGCGGTTTGTTTTAAAAAAAAATCTGTCCTTGTCCGGTTATTCTGATTTAGAAAATCCTACAACAGCTGGATTGTATACTAGTGCAACATAGCGGGTAGGATATTTTAGATTAAATAGAATTAAAGGGACACTTCAGCCTTTAACTTACCCCTATTTTCTAAAGGATTTTGTGGATCTGTGGTTCTTTAAAGTTTAGTCTGGCACTAGAACCACTACAGGCCATTATAGTTGTTATGGTACCATTACACTATAGGTAGGGTCCCTGCTTTTCAGTAGAACCATTCGCAAACAGTTTGACTTAAACCAGGTGTTTCTGAAGCACCTTCAGCCTGGCTTCCAGTTGCTGTGTGTCAATGATTGACACTAAAATATGGATGAAATTGATCATACAGAACAGCAGGTGGGAAGGGCTTAACATAACAAAGTATTTAACCAGGAAAGGTAAATTCAGATTATCATTCTACTGATAATGCATTAACCCACTAAGCTATCTTACAATGTGTAACCATATGCTACTAGCCAGGCTTTATATGTTACTTGACATTGCAAGCTATAGAATACACTAGAGTGGTGAATCTCTACTCGCCTATGTATAATTTTTATTTGCCAATCGTTCATCCCTTACTAGTACATTGGTTCCTGGAACGACACTGTTTTCCCAAGTAAAATTAAAATCCAACGCTGGTGAGAGTGTAGCTGAACTTATTTTGTTTTACTTCTATCAAAATTGAAGAATAGATCACCAAGCCAATGTCTTGTATATAATATGGTTCCAAAAAACAGGATAACAGAACTACTATAGGTAGTTATAGTGTAATGGGCACAATTTTAAAAGCAGGGGTAATAAATTAAAAATGCAATGAAACCAGGTACTCCACCTTAAAGTTGCAGCAAACCTTCAGACTAGATTCCTGCAGTAATCTCTTCCCAGGGGTACACACATTTTGGTTTCAACGCCTTTCAGCCAATACTAGCCTTTCCATTTATTTCAGTGTGAGATAATAAACGTCTTCCTGTTTGTGTGAGGGTTTGGACTTATACAGCTGCGGCAATTTTCAAAAATTGCTACAATTGAATTTCAACTGCGTGTAGGAGATACAGCAAAAAAGGATCTCTGCTTTATAACTTATCTAAAGTGCATAAGCAGTTGTGGTGCTTGGAATGTCCCTGTAAATTTTGACACGAAGTTTCATAATGACGTGTGATATAAATGTTTACCGATTGAATTGATGCTAAGTTGTTTTCACCATGACAGCATATGCTAAAGTCTAAGAATAGAAAGTGATTTAATCAAATTGCATCCGCAACAACCACAACATGAAAGCCTAAAGCTTACTTACACAGACCTTGATTTTATTTTTTTGGATAAACTTCTGAAATGGTTTAATATTTTAATATGTGATTTTTTTTTTTATATATATATATTATTATATTTTTTTCCCCAAAATGATTCAATAATTTGAAAAAAATCAATAATTTGAAAGCTATTAAATTGTGGTCATAGTTTAAAATAATTTAAATATCTCCTTCTTAGTGCAATGATTTCCTTCCTACATAGAAGTTGTATGAAGTCGACGGATCACGAATATATGGCAGAAATTAAAGGGAAAATAATGTAATTCATAGTATGCCTTGATGTCGAATTAATCATGAGTGTGTTAAAAGTTATTTACCCGGACATAAATTAAATGGATGTTAATGTGTTAGTGTAATATGTTTGTCATAATTATTTATATTTCTTTGAGGTTTTTAAAAATATGTATCTAATACCGTCGGAAATTGGTTGTAAATAGAATGCATTTTGCACCATAACAATGTTAAGTTTTTTAATTCATTTTTTTCTTGGTGGATCGAAAACAGAAAAATTATATAATTTTTTTTTAAAAAGTGAAAAATTAGACGAGCGAGTAGTATTTTACCTCCTCTAGATTTAATTATCTTTCTGAATTATGCACTCCCAGCTCTAGCAATGATCTCAGACAATCGGTCTATTGGCCATTTTCCTGGATCGGCAAGGAGATAACTGACTAGCCCTGTGCAATCTCATTACAGCTTTCATCTTATTATCTTTCTTCAAAATTGCAACTTGTAAGTAACTATACATATACTCAGAACATAAATCTAAACAATGAAATTGACTCAGAAAAAGCAGTTGTAGATATAATTTTATGATTAATTCTCATTACAATAAAATTTACAAAAATGACAAAGAAAAAAGTGCAAAATATACACCACACACACAAAACACACACAGGTACCTGGTGGCAAGCGTAGCCAAGTATTGTACATAGTTATGTTTCATTTACAATTGTACAAGCGGTCTCAATGGGAGAAGATGACTTGGCCAGTTGCCCCCTGATAAGCTGAGTTTGATAATGGGAAAAACTTTATTAGCAATAATCAGCATGGTTTTATGAAACATAGGTCATGTCAAACGAACCTGATTGCATTCTACGAACAAGTAAGTAGAAGTATAGATCAGGGTGTTTCAGTGGATGTGATCTACTTGGATTTTGCCAAGGCATTTGATATGGTTCCTCACAATAGGTTAGTCTTCAAACTAAAAGAAATTGGTCTAGATTAATATTCTTGTTGTTGGGTAGAACATTGGCTCAAGGATAGAGTACAACGAGTTGTCATTAATGGTAAATTTTCAAGCTGGACAAAAGTGGTAAGTGGTGTCCATCAGGGTTCTGTTTTGGGACCCCTTCTATTTAACATATTTATAAATGATCTTGCAATAGGTATTGAAAGCCATGTTTTACTGTTTGCAGATGACACAAAACTTTGTAAAGTAATAAAATGTAAGCAGGATATTGCTCTGCTGCAGAGAGATTTAGATAGATTGGGGGACTGGGCACTAAAATTGCAGATGAAATTTAATGTAGAGAAATGCA